CTTTGTTATAGCAAACCTATATGAAGTCTTTTCTGCCTCATCTTGCAGTGCCTTCCCCTACAATTGCCTCACATCTGTTATTTCAGCTCACCAAGTCTAATAAAAATTGTACCGGTAATTTGTTTCCATGTTATCATTAATTTTCCTTATAGTTTGCAGCTACAATCGTGTAAGACATAGTGTGCTTATTCAGGCGTAGTCAACCCCAAAGGGGTGTTTTTATGAAGCACTGACCTATTTTATTAGGCAAATGATTGTGAGCTATGGTACAAGAAGGACAGAGAATGTAGTCTAATAAATGTTCCACATAATTTATCAGCTTAGAATAAAAATATCACTTTTAGATCTATTCAGTATATCCTTTTTCAGTTACATGCATGTCCTCATTGAGCTTGCAGTTCTGTCCATAAATGTCAGAAGAAGAGGGCATGATGGAAAAGTAAACTAAAATATGCTTTTTTTTTTTTTTTTAATACTAGAAGCATCTTGCTATATAGCATGACATTTGTGAAAGGGCAAGTATTAATCCCAGTATGCAGTCTAACTGGTTGGAAAGTGCATCAAGGAGCCCTATGATGTGAAGGATGGAAACCTTTCATGTAAGCTTCAAAGTTTCAGCTCTTGTCCCTCTCTCCTAAAGACAGAATGGGACATGGATTTATGTAGTCACTGAGATACAGTGCCTGCGTGTAGCCTCAGATCTATCAGGTTCTGAACCATTCTATTTCTGGTTCACAAAAGGTCCTCACCTTCCTAAGTGTTTTCAGATAGGACAGCACAAACAAAACTCCAAATGATACAGATATTGCAGGTACCATTTATATTGCATATAGATCTACCTTTGTGTGCAGAAAGGGAAGCATTTTTTGCTCCAAAATATTTCTAGCAAGGGAAATGAAAAAGAAAAGGTTTAGCCAGCTGAAAGTGTTGCATACCCTTGTGTGACGAGGAGTACTGGAGATTCACAGCCAAACTCACTCTCTTGCATGTTTCTGTAAGGGAAATTATATTTGATTTGATTAAACAAGCTTATCAAAATCTTTTCACTTAATAGTTGCAACCCAGTGAAACAATAAAGAAACGTGGTCATCTTAATAGCTCATTGGTTTCCAAAAGTGACATAAAAGTAAAGTAGTTTGGAGCCTCAGACTTCTCTTGTTTTGTTTTCTTGGTTTTAAAAATGTGTAGCAACAGAACTGATATACAAAACAATGGAAGAGCTTAAATGTTACATCCTGCAGATGTGAAAACTTGAGACTGATCACAACCATAATATTATCTGGGAAACAGAGAAGCAGAAACACAGCACTGCTGTTATGCTTGGGACTTGGAGACCTACCTTACATTAAAGTTGTCCAGCACTTTCTTTATATGACTATGCATTTACTTTATAACTTTGCCAAATGTTAACCCTTTTGTCTAAGCTGACCCATGCTGTATGGTTATCTCAGGCTGAATTATTTTATAAAAGTTCACCCCCAAATCGTTCAGCTGTTTCTCAGAATGAGGCTAAGGAAAACATAGTTTTCCCATGTTTTTCTTTTAAAAAGTCTGATGCTTTTTGTAACAATTGTGGACAGCCAAGCAGATGTGTTTCCTATGTGACATGGTAGCAAAAAAGGTCAATGCACATTTGTCATTCATTCACAGAGGCACAACCTCTCAGGAAAGGGAAGTAGCACTCAGTCTTTATAAAGGCACTTTCCAGGCACTTCATTGCCATAAAAATACTGACACAATGTAGGGAGTTCCAAGAACAGCAGCAGCAATGAGAGCAGGAAAGCTTGGTTAAATGACAAGTAAGGTGAAATCTGCAAAGGGATTTAGTTGCTGTGGGACCGAGCAATGCAATGCTTAGCTTCTGCCTTGGCCCTCAGAATGGAATCTTAGAATAGATATTCAGTGCACATAAACCAGTTTGAGAATGGCTGAAACCGGTTTGAGATAAAGCTGGTTGAATGTAGTATCAGACTTAACAGATTTGGCTGAAACCGGTTTATGCAACGTCTGTCCCAGATGCCTTCCTGGTTTAAGATAAACCAAACTCCCCCAGCATTCTGGCATGCTATCTGGGCTGGGCAGGGTTCTCTGCTCCACAGCAGGGCTGGCTCCTTTCCTCTGCTCCATGGCTGGAGCTCCAGATACTCTGGGCTGCTTTCCCCCTTCCCTCACCACTCCCTCCTAAGTAGGAATTCCCCCTCCCCTCTGCCTTGCTGAGGAGGTGTCTGTGTTTTAGCTAGCAGACCACATGTTGGCTATGGTCTCTGCTGAGACAACAGGTAAAATCAACAAGTAGCTGGTAATGACCCTCTATTGTTTTCTTAATTGGGTGATAAACACTGTTATCAATTCCCTGGTGGGCTTATTAGAGCTTCTGCTGGAGACTGGCTGAGTCTCCCTCAGCTCCATGC